CTGACAATGAGTTTCCCAAGCGGAAGTAAAATCATATTTTTATTAATTCACTTCATTAAACTACTTATTAAAATATAATTTAATTAATCCAAATAAAAAAAGATCAATGTAAATTAAGACATCTTTTCAAAAATTTAATTGTTAATTTAACCCTTTGTTAATCTCGTGACTTTTCTACCGGAGCATTAAGTAAATTGTTACATTCAACGTTCACTGGGAAAATAGTCAATACTTTATATTCACGACACACCTTTTAAAACTTCAAACTTAAACTTTCACTGAAGACATTGATAATTAAGAAATAGGATCATTTTGAAAAAATTATATTAAAAAAATCTATATTGCATTCAATTACAATTTTATTTTCAATAGTAATCAAAACCAATTGTTTTGAAACACAATTCCAAAAAATTTATCTAATTTAAGTAATCCAACGAAAGTACATAATATACACAAACATCAAACAGTTAAAAATACGTTAAACTTCAAACTTTAAATAAAAAAAACGTTAAAACTAAACCATAAAGATGGAAATTAACTTTCTACCTATTTTTTTAATTACTAGCTATCAAAAATTTTTCTCTATTCACATGTAAAAATATAAATAAATTAATGTTATACTTATAAAACGCATTCAAATAATAACGTGTCGTTAGGTTACCAGCAAGAATAGAAAGGAAGCGACGTGAAGTTGGCACCGCAAACTCATTAAATCATTATTAAACTATATCAAATCGTTTGGTAATCGTATGGTAGTGTATGGTAATCAGTTTTAATTGTTTGGTAGTAAATATTAAAAAAGTTATTTAAATTTTAAGTTCAAAGTGCTAACTTCACGGTAGCACTACACTATACAATTTTTTAAGATAATTCAAAGTGGTAACGTTTGGTAGTTGTTTGGTAGTGATTGGTATCTACTTTCTGATGTTTGGTAGTAAAAAAAAACTAAAATATAACATAAAAATAAATGTACAATGATGAACAGGACTGTCATGCTATTCAACATTACGCATGCGCATGACGGTCAGCCATTATGAATTGCCGGCAAAATTTAAATGCAGAACAATTTGTTTAACACCACTTTGGTTAAATCAAATACATGTATAAAGATAAAAATTAAATAAATTCAATTCTCTTAATAAAAAAAAAATATTTTGTATAATTCGTCACATTAAGTTCTTAAAAAAATAAAAATATTTTCTTTAAGTGCTGCAAGAGAAATTATCGTTTTTCAAAATTTCTTTTTTCCCTACAATCCCTGACTGACACAGACGTTTGGTATTGCTTTTTCATCGTTTGGTATTAAAAAATTAAATTGTTAATTAATTAACTATTAAAAAAAATTTTTTTTTCTTTGAGTGCTGCAAGAGAAATTATCGTTTTTCAAAATTTCTTTTTTCCCTACAATCCCTGACTGACACAGACGTTTGGTATTGCTTTTTCATCGTTTGGTATTAAAAAATTAAATTGTTAATTAATTAACTATTAAAAAAATTTTTTTTTTCTTTGAGTGCTGCAAGAGAAATTATCGTTTTTCAAAATTTCTTTTTTCCCTACAATCCCTGACTGACACAGACGTTTGGTATTGCATTTTCATCGTTTGGTATTAAAAAATTAAATTGTTAATTAACTAAAAATGAGAAAAAATTTTTTTTCTTTGAGTGCTGCAAGAGAAATTATCGGTTTTCAAAATTTCTTTTTTCCCTACAATCCCTGACTGACACAGACGTTTGGTATTGCTTTTTCATCGTTTGGTATTAAATAATGAAATTGTCAATTAATTAAATATTAAAAAAAAATTTTTTTCTTTGAGTGCTGCAAGAGAAATTATCGTTTTTCAAAATTTCTTTTTTCCCTACAATCCCTGACTGACATAGACGTTTGGTATTGCTTTTTCATCGTTTGGTATTAAAAAATGAAATTGTTAATTAATTAACTAGTAAAAAAATTTTTTTTTTCTTTGAGTGCTGCAAGAGAAATTATCGTTTTTCAAAATTTCTTTTTTCCCTACAATCCCTGACTGACACAGACGTTTGGTATTGCTTTTTCATCGTTTGGTATTAAAAAATTAAATTGTTAATTAATTAACTATTAAAAAAATTTTTTTTTTCTTTGAGTGCTGCAAGAGAAATTATCGTTTTTCAAAATTTCTTTTTTCCCTACAATCCCTGACTGACACAGACGTTTGGTATTGCTTTTTCATCGTTTGGTATTAAAAAATTAAATTGTTAATTAATTAACTATTAAAAAAATTTTTTTTTTCTTTGAGTGCTGCAAGAGAAATTATCGTTTTTCAAAATTTCTTTTTTCCCTACAATCCCTGACTGACACAGACGTTTGGTATTGAATTTTCATCGTTTGGTATTAAAAAATTAAATTGTTAATTAATTAACTATTAAAAAAAATTTTTTTTTCTTTGAGTGCTGCAAGAGAAATTATCGGTTTTCAAAATTTCTTTTTTCCCTACAATCCCTGACTGACATAGACGTTTGGTATTGCTTTTTCATCGTTTGGTATTAAAAAATGAAATTGTTAATTAATTAACTAGTAAAAAAATTTTTTTTTTCTTTGAGTGCTGCAAGAGAAATTATCGTTTTTCAAAATTTCTTTTTTCCCTACAATCCCTGACTGACACAGACGTTTGGTATTGAATTTTCATCGTTTGGTATTAAAAAATTAAATTGTTAATTAATTAACTATTAAAAAAATTTTTTTTTTCTTTGAGTGCTGCAAGAGAAATTATCGTTTTTCAAAATTTCTTTTTTCCCTACAATCCCTGACTGACACAGACGTTTGGTATTGAATTTTCATCGTTTGGTATTAAAAAATTAAATTGTTAATTAACTAAAAATGAGAAAAATTTTTTTTTCTTTGAGTGCTGCAAGAGAAATTATCGGTTTTCAAAATTTCTTTTTTTTTAATAGTTAATTAATTAACAATTTAATTTTTTAATATCAAACGATGAAATTGCAATACCAAACGTCTGTGTCAGTCAGGGATTGTAGGGAAAAAAGAAATTTTGAAAACCGATAATTTCTCTTGCAGCACTCAAAGAAAAAAAAATTTTTTTTAATAGTTAATTAATTAACAATTTAATTTTTTAATACCAAACGATGAAAATTCAATACCAAACGTCTGTGTCAGTCAGGGATTGTAGGGAAAAAAGAAATTTTGAAAAACGATAATTTCTCTTGCAGCACTCAAAGAAAAAAAAAATTTTTTTAATAGTTAATTAATTAACAATTTAATTTTTTAATACCAAACGATGAAAAAGCAATACCAAACGTCTGTGTCAGTCAGGGATTGTAGGGAAAAAAGAAATTTTGAAAAACGATAATTTCTCTTGCAGCACTCAAAGAAAAAAAAAATTTTTTTAATAGTTAATTAATTAACAATTTAATTTTTTAATACCAAACGATGAAAAAGCAATACCAAACGTCTGTGTCAGTCAGGGATTGTAGGGAAAAAAGAAATTTTGAAAAACGATAATTTCTCTTGCAGCACTCAAAGAAAAAAAAAATTTTTTTACTAGTTAATTAATTAACAATTTCATTTTTTAATACCAAACGATGAAAAAGCAATACCAAACGTCTATGTCAGTCAGGGATTGTAGGGAAAAAAGAAATTTTGAAAAACGATAATTTCTCTTGCAGCACTCAAAGAAAAAAATTTTTTTTTAATATTTAATTAATTGACAATTTCATTATTTAATACCAAACGATGAAAAAGCAATACCAAACGTCTGTGTCAGTCAGGGATTGTAGGGAAAAAAGAAATTTTGAAAACCGATAATTTCTCTTGCAGCACTCAAAGAAAAAAAATTTTTTCTCATTTTTAGTTAATTAACAATTTAATTTTTTAATACCAAACGATGAAAATGCAATACCAAACGTCTGTGTCAGTCAGGGATTGTAGGGAAAAAAGAAATTTTGAAAAACGATAATTTCTCTTGCAGCACTCAAAGAAAAAAAAAATTTTTTTAATAGTTAATTAATTAACAATTTAATTTTTTAATACCAAACGATGAAAAAGCAATACCAAACGTCTGTGTCAGTCAGGGATTGTAGGGAAAAAAGAAATTTTGAAAAACGATAATTTCTCTTGCAGCACTCAAAGAAAAAAAAATTTTTTTTAATAGTTAATTAATTAACAATTTAATTTTTTAATACCAAACGATGAAAAAGCAATACCAAACGTCTGTGTCAGTCAGGGATTGTAGGGAAAAAAGAAATTTTGAAAAACGATAATTTCTCTTGCAGCACTTAAAGAAAATATTTTTATTTTTTTAAGAACTTAATGTGACGAATTATACAAAATATTTTTTTTTTATTAAGAGAATTGAATTTATTTAATTTTTATCTTTATACATGTATTTGATTTAACCAAAGTGGTGTTAAACAAATTGTTCTGCATTTAAATTTTGCCGGCAATTCATAATGGCTGACCGTCATGCGCATGCGTAATGTTGAATAGCATGACAGTCCTGTTCATCATTGTACATTTATTTTTATGTTATATTTTAGTTTTTTTTTACTACCAAACATCAGAAAGTAGATACCAATCACTACCAAACAACTACCAAACGTTACCACTTTGAATTATCTTAAAAAATTGTATAGTGTAGTGCTACCGTGAAGTTAGCACTTTGAACTTAAAATTTAAATAACTTTTTTAATATTTACTACCAAACAATTAAAACTGATTACCATACACTACCATACGATTACCAAACGATTTGATATAGTTTAATAATGATTTAATGAGTTTGCGGTGCCAACTTCACGTCGCTTAGAAAGGACGCTCCAAAAGTTTCAAGTTGCTTTCCAAGTAAAAAAAACAACAGTTACCCTGACCTTATACAAGGTAAAAATAAACAACATGCAACCACATTCAAAGCACATAATTGTATTGAAAATAAAATAATTATTTTAACCGTTAATATATATGACACACGTGCTTTTAACACAATGATAATATTAAGTAAATGTAAAAACAATAACCTTGTATTGCCTCCTTGCCCCAAACGTAATCCACAATGCAGGGTATAAGAACAACACCCACTGTTGCTAAATTACCCATTATTTCATGGTCCACATTGTTCTAACGTGGCATTTTTTCACCCCTTATTTTTCTTAACGTACATAATATAACTCGCGGAAAAAACATAACCGAACTTCGCGACGATCGGTGACACACTGAATATGTTTGTGTGTAGGTGGGGAGTTTGACGCCAGTTTTCACCACTTGGCGGCGCTGATGCGGGCGAAAGTTTTAATTTTCCTTTGGCGGGCTTTTTAAATTAAATCGATTTAAATATATATGACAATAATATAAATACATTTATATTTATTTTATCTATTATTTTTTAAATAGAATTAATTAATTATTCATTAATCTAATTCATGGAGAAGAAAAGAAATACTCAGACAAGTTTTTCGATTTATATCGTTTTATTATTTTTTATGTTTATTTTACACAAAGATGTATACGTAGTGGTATCGTTTTTTTTTTTTGTATAAATCTCGATATGATCCACAAGGACCTATCATTCCACATATGTAATTAAACAGATAGAGAGAAAGCAACATCTTGCAACATCTTTACTGATCGTTTTAATATTAAACCAGGTCACGAAAATGCGTATGATGCTTTAATAAATCTGCAGAGTGTAAAGGACAGAAAAAAACCTTTTCCTAAAGTCAAGTGTGACTGATGGAAATAAAATTGTTCTACTATTTATTCACAATATAGGATTAATTTTGTTTTGTTTCACGTCTCATCTATCGTCTTGGTCAGCGTCGTTAGATAATTTTTTTTTTCTTCACCTATCTGACTTTCGATGCTTATTATTTTACAAATTTTCATGACACTTTTTTTTTTTTTTACAAATAAATAAGGCTTTCTAATTATTTAGCTATTTGGGCCACAGCAATTTACAAGCCAAATTCGTTTGGTTTACTAATTTTCAGAAAAAAGTAAAAATATAATTCTATTTTTGATGATTTACAATGCATGTGAAAAACAACCTTAACTTTTTTTTCTTAACAATTGAAAATTTTTTTATTGTTAATATGTAAAGAAAGAAAATTTTTCGATAACACAGTTAACCGAACGCAAAATTTTATAGACATGTCACTTTTGATCAGATAGTTTTCCCATTTTTATCACAATTATTAATTAAAATTACAATGTTACTTTTAAAATAGAATTTTATTCCCTTTCACACATGACCAAAGAATGTAAACGTTTGGTTACTTCTTGTTTTACTTAATAATTCTAACAGTAATGTTTTCTTTTTTTTGGCTGCTGTTTGTTTTGTTAATTGGGAAAATTAAATAATTAAGAACACATAATTCATAATCATATGTCTTGCAAATAGAAAATCTTTTACATCTTCCCCCCCCCTCGTCGAAGTACACCTTGTTTCTTTTTTTTCTCTACATTTAAAACTGATATTATGCATCTAAATTTACGCTTCCTCGTTAATCTTTTATACATAAATTTGTTGCTATGTACGTATCATATGTACAAAAAAGTTCATCGTACTTTTAATATTTCATACTCGCGATTCTTAAATCTAAAATTTAACCCCTCAAGCGTAATTTTCGGACGCCTTTATTTTTTGAAGAAGAATATTTCCCAAAAGCACTACCTCGATTTCTACGTATAAGAGTTTTTTTTTTTTAAATAGAAATAAGAAAATAAGTTATAATTAGAAGAAATCAAAGGTGATAGTGTTTCACTTCAAAAGTCAAAAAACAGAAATCATCATACTCTGTGTGCTCTTGGAAAAACTGTAACATATACCTTTCATATTTATATATATTTTTCTGTCTACGCAATATGTACATTAGGATTTTATGTTTGTTTTTTACAATTTTTCCTTTTCTTAGCTATATTTTAATCATATATGTTCCTAGGCAATTGCATACAATTTTGTTTGCAGAAAAAAAATCATCTTACACACTCGCAAAATCTACCATAATGATATGAATGATTAAATCAACAATAACTAATCTAATTATTATGTGATTCACTGGTCTTTAAAAGGCTACAAAATAAAAAAAAAAAAAAAATTGGTAAACTATTTGAAAAAAAAAATCAATTGTATATTCTGAGAATTAATCGCTTGAAAAATAAAAATATATATATCAATTTTCTTCGGACAAAAAGACAATTTCTTTAAACAAAAACACTTTTAAAATATATATAAAAAATTCTGTACCTTAAGATGAAAACAACATAAGATACAGTTATGCAAAAAAAAAAAAAAATCTAGTGAAATGTAAATTTTGTTTTCACTTGTGATTTAAAAAATTTTTTTATATGCAGATATAATCAATTTAAAAAAAAAATCTATAGAGTATTTCAAGCTAAATTTGTCCAATATCTGACCGTATTTACAAAATAAATATTACATGCTCAAAATTTTGTATTCAAATTTCTGAGATCATTTCTTTCTTACAAACATTATATACACTGTTCTTTGTATTTATAAGTTTTTTATTTTAAGATATATTGTATGGATTAAACAAAATAAATTGTTGAAAATTTAAAAAATTTTCATTGATTGGTTCATACTTTCAACAAAGTATAAATTTTTATGATTTCTCAAAAGGCCACACTGTTCAAGGCCACAAAGCGACAAAAAATAATGTTATATTTTTTTTTTTGCATTAATAATTATAAAATGAAAAATAATCGTTTTATAGGCGTTTTCATTTAATAATTATTAAAAATTAATGGTGTCTAATTTTGAAAAGTTTATATTTTAATATATGTAAAACAATTTCTAAACGATTGTATTAAATTTTATTTTACTTAAAACTTTTCAAAAATTTTTTCAAAATTTTTTCAAAATAAAGACCTAGAACTAGTGTACATTTAACATTTGCTGATTACCAAAAAACTGATCTCAGAAACTATTTTCAAAATGTATACAACTTTCCTTCAAAAAAAAAAATTGAAGATTTCTTGTTTTTCACTTTATCTTACAACGAGGCCTATGCCAAATTGAAAAATCATCAATTATTTCTTACGACGCATAATTTTGACATTCTACACGACGTGATCACGATCAATGAGAAATATGTTACACAATTTCATGAGTGACATAATTACAAAAACAAACAAAATTTTGTTTTTGTGTGTACACTAAACGTGAAGTACGAATTTTATTTTTTTTTTTTTTAATGGATTTTTTAAATTAAACGTCGCTGGTTTAAACGATCCCCACCCCTACCTCTTTTTGTAAGGCGATTTTCAGTCAAAACGTAATTCTCGACCTTATTATACGTTTCTTAAATCTCTTACTCTTCATCAAAACAACAAAATCCATCAAAAGCCTTGTGTGCAGCAAGTATGATTTTTTCCTTTCTCCTCAAATTAAAAATTGATTAGAAACTCACCGAAATTTCACGTTACTCGATGAATATTACATTTAGGTATGTAGTCACTAGTATCGAGAAGCCAGCTTTTTGTTAAGGCGCAAGGATAATGTATAACAGCCTTGCAACCACGTTTTACACAACCAATGTTTGCTCCAGTCAAACCGCAAGCTTCACAAACTGACTTTGCAGCATCCCAAACTGCTTCTTGTAAACCTGTGACTCGTCCGCCTTTATAAAAAAAAATATTTTTTGACATGTTTAAAAAATAAAAAATTAAATATAATATTCATATTTTTTTCTAAAGTATTTCTTTTACCTGCTAAATAAACACCAGCTGTCCAAACTGCACATTGTTCATGAAGCCAAACTTCCCAACGTTGTTCTTCACCAGGAATTAATGTCATGCCCGTAAACACAGTATTAGCATTACTATTTTCTATTGAGTTTCTTTTTTTCTTACTCATTTTAGCAGTAAATTGATCAGCCAGTCCTGCGTGCCTTAAACTCCGTTTATTTTTCCCACCTTTCTTTTGCTCAATCATAATTTCCTGCTCATCTGCAGATAAAATTCCATCCTCCAAACGTTCTTTGCCAATCAAATATGGACCAAATAAATCACTCAAAACACCAGCTGGAACCTATAATAATCAAAGAAGCTTCCCATTAATTGACTACATTTTAAGTGTCTTTCTTTAAATGAAATTTTTTAAATTAGGACGTGATTTTGTAAAGTTTTTTTTTAGAATTTTTATATCTTTTCATAATTAGCACACGGTGCCATGTATTCCATTTTTTTACACGAGTGCTAATTGTAAAATTATTTTTACTTACAATATACGATCCAGGTGCTATGTGAGGACCTGCTAAATTGGGGTGTGGCCTTGAAGGATCACCAGGAACAACAGAATGTGGACCCTGTTTGCAAAATACACAAACCCATGTTGAATCTGTTGTATGTGCGTCGTATCTTGATGATAGTGTAGAACTAAAAAGACCGGCTTTGTTAACCTTCCCTGAAAATTGAAAAAATACAATTAAATTGTAAAAATCATAAAATGATCGACAAATAAAAAAAAAAATGATCCACCTACCCCGATAGTCAAGATCATTTTGATGACTGAGCCTCTTACTTCGACCTGCGTTTCCATTTCCCAAATTTTTTCGTTTTTCTTTACTTTTCTCTTCTTCTTCTTCGCGAGGAACATTAACAACTTGAATACTTAATGGACTGTCTCGTGGTCCCTCGACATGAACAACAGGTCCACGTGATCTAATCGAACTTGCATTAGATCCAGAATCATATGTCACTTCTCTTAAGCCCTCAACTTTTGTAGTCTTTTTCACATTTTTCTTGGAACTCTCTTGTTTTTTATTTCCCTTCGTTGCCTTGCCTCTTTTACCGTCTTTCAATTCACCACCACCTTGACCAACATTATCGGATTTGACAGCTTTTCTCTTACCAGCTCGAACTCTACCTTTCTTAGTTTTCTTGGGTGTTGATTTTGTCTCCACTGATGATGATACATCAGCTAAACTTGTACTTTGCATATTACTTGTAGACACAATATTATCTGCATTCTCCGACTTTAGAATATTGTCCGATTTCTCTTCATCTTCAAGTTTCGGTTCTTGTTTTTCACTTGTCTCAACAATACCTGCAAACATTTTTTCCAATTCTGATTCAACTTCATTAAAAGGATTCGCATTGCCAGTTACTTTTGGACTTGTTACTTTTGAAAAATCTGTAACATCATCACTTGATTTTCTCCTAACTCTTTGATTAACAACTGGACTTAGCGTTGGTCCCTCACTACATCTCCGCCTTCTAACTGGTTGATTTTCTTCATTTTTTTCATCTAAATCTACATCCATTCGCTCACCTAATTTCTCATCTACTCTTTGTTCTAAATTTTTATCAACTTTCTCAACAACATTTTTCACACTCTCCTCAATTTTATTATCCATTATTGGTGTTTCTGTTTTTTCATCAATTTTTTGTTCTGTTCTATTAACAATTCGTTCATTAATCAATAATGGAGTATGATCCATTGGCAAATTAATCTCACAACTCCTTGATTCCGTGGGTTCTGTTGGCTCTAATTCCATATCTTCAACTTCTGTTTTTGAATCCTTACTAAGTCTTACTGGCTTTTCTAATTTTCGTTTCCTTCGCTGTTTAGTATTATCATTAGAGTCTTCATTACTAAATGGTGAAATAACATCTTCATCACGATTTGGTGACCTTGATATTTGTCGTTCCGGCGACATACTCTTTACACTACCCGTATCCTTTTCCTCTAATGGAGTAACAATAACAGAACCAATATTTTCCGTGCCAAGCTTTTTATTACCACTTTCCAATTTCTCCAAAAGTGAATCAACACCTTTCTTTCCACTACGTTTCAATGATGTTTTTGGTGATCTCACACTCATATCCTCCATTCTTCTATCACAATCCAACGATAATTCTCTATTAGGACTATCAATTACATCTTTATCTTTTGAAGTAAGATTGACAATAACTGGCATTACGTTTCTTGGCACTTGTGCAATAACGCTTAATGTGTCTTTACATTTTGTCACTTCTGTATCTTTTTTATTATCCGACGTTACTCTCTCAATTGTCACATTTGGAGGTAGATTGATAACTTTTTGCACAAAACTGTCAATACTGCTCTCCTTTATTTTATCATGAAGATTCGAGACGCCCTTAAGATTACTTTCGAAATTTTTAACTGTTATTTTAGGTGTAATTATTTCCTTTGTCGATAGTGATACTGGCTCAATAAGTGAATTAGGTGTTGGAACTGAGGAACTAATACCACTGTCACATGATGTGTCACCATTCAATGGTATTGGTGGTGAAATTATATTACCATTTCGACTGCCCTTATCTATACTGCGGGCAGTTAAGCTAATGGGAATATCTTGAGGTATTCGAGAATAATTTTCTGCCATTTCAGATGTTGCCGATAGATCAAGTGTACTTTGAACGCCTGGTGCATTTCTGTACTGATTTTGATTTTGTCGATTGTCAACTAACATTTGAAGGCTGAATAAAGGATTGCCAGCTGTATTTGATGGTGTCATTGTTTTTGCTGGTACTGTTGGTGTATGCCACGTAGGTGGAGCCTGAGTATGCGCCAATTGAGGCGTAAGTTGAGGTGTTAAATGAGACGCTCGTGCCATAGATGGATGTGTATAAAATCCCGCTGGATTTAACGATGCACCGGACAATGCTGTTGGATGTATATTCAATCCTGAAATTGTAATTTCAAATATTAAAATATTTTCAATTTGTTTCTAAATAACATTTATAATTATTAAATTCAGGATTTCTACAAGAAATCTGAAATAAAAAAAATTAAATTTTAAAAATTCCAGGCCTTTTTCATGATTTCCAGAAAATTTTTAAAAATTCTACTATTCTATGATTGTCAATTTCTGTAGAAACCCTAATTTTTGTAAAATTAGAATTTCAATTTGTAAATTGAAAAAGGAAAGAAAAATAGAATACAAATTTCAAAATGAGTGAAAAAAGATCAATAGATGACAACCTATAATTTATGATAATAAAAAAAAAAAAAAAAATAGAAGAAAAACTTTTGTAGTTCATGTGTATTGATTGAATAACCTAAAGTAAATTTAATTGAAGATAAAAAGTTGTGCAAACAATTTTGAAGTTTTTTAACTACGTTTCCTTATCAAAATTAAATGAGATAAGATAAGCTACAATATTAATTTCTGATAATTTTTTTTTTAATAGCTTAATTATAATATTTTTGAAAAATATTTTAAAAAAAAACTATCAGAGAATAAATACCTTGTCCTTGAGTCATTGTAAGATGATTCCAGACAGTTTGCGGAGGAGGTGTGCCAACTGGTGGCCGACTGTGACCAGGATATTGTCCCGACATTTCGAATGCCTCAAAAATCCTTCTTTCCGTATTGTCAGTAAATAAATTGTTTAATGTTTGAGTGTCTAATTTCAGTATTTTGTCAATGTCACAATTCGTAACATTAAAATCTGCAGTGCCTTTGAGTAAATTTAACGTCAATTTTTTATTAATTTCGTTTTGATTTGATTCACTAATTGTGAATTTCTGATTTTTTGAATTTTTATCGTTGCTGGAAATAATGTTGTCTGAATAGTCATAAAATTTTGATAAACTTAAATTTTTCTCAACTTCTTGAGCTTTAGGGGAAATATTAATCCAATTAGGAGAATTTAAAATACAAATTTCTTGTATATTTTGACTTTTTGTCGAAGACGTAGCAATTGGTGAAATAGATTTTTCACTTTTCTTTTCTAGAATATATTTTGAATTAGAATAAAATGGCGTAATGGAATGAGAAAAATTTGCTTCCTCTGCTTGATTAGGGACTAAGTCAGATCTTGTTCGATAATTGTAAGCTTGTTCCGCAAAGCCGTCGTTGATACCACAAGAATTTGTGACAATGCTTGAAATTGGATTTACTGTGTTGTATGTATTTGGTTTCAGTAAGTCCTTATGTGTTAGCAATAATTCTTGATTATTGTTCCAGTAGAAGTTTGTTGGCAGCGCCCCATAAGGCGCATTTCCCTGTATCGAAAACCCTGAAAAATTAGAAAAAACAAAAAATTCTTTAAATCTTAGGAAAATTAATTTTATAAAATTAATTTATAAATAAAAATTACCATTGCTGAAAGCAGCATCAGGTTCGAACAAAGTCACACCATGCTGAAACGATGTTGAAGGTCTCAGCAAATGTTCATTAGTGTTTAAAATGTTCCTATTACTCTGTCCAGTACAGAATGAACAATTCCAATTTTGAGGCTCGTCTCTAATCAATTCTTGATTGTGTGCTTTATCTAATTCTGTAAAGAAATTTTCTTTTATTTACTTTTGTCACATTTTTTCATGTTTAAAAAGCACACAAATGTTTTCTAATTCTCATTAAGTAAAATATTTAAAAAATTACAAGGAAATGTACACAAATAAAGTAAAAGGAACGGCTTTTCATTCTTGTGAAATATTATTATTAAATGTTTACACAGTTGTATTTTATAGTGCAAGAATGACAAAGTTGAAAATTTTTGTATATTGTTTTGAATTAATAAATTTAAAAAAAATTAGCATTTTATTGAAATTAATCTTTAAAAAAGTTAGCTGTTTAGAAAATAGAGAGATTGAAAAAATGTAAAAATATTACTATTAAATGTGTAAACATTGAATGCTTTTAGTTAATAAGGATTTGCTAAATCCTACGCTCTAGTAAAGATAAAAATACAAGTTACTTTTAAAGAACACATTTGTGTGGGTTGACATATGCTACCATTTCCTAGTTCGTAAGGTGTCAATTACATACACGAACAATTAAAAAACTAATGCTTAATTTGAAAAACAATTAACCAAAGTGTGATAGTATTAAAAAATTATCAGCATTGTTTAAATTAACAATACATCCAAATAAGTGGAACATTTTTTTTTTTTTTTTGCAATATATGCATTAATTTTAAATAATAAATTTTGAAAATCACTAAACATCTAATTAAGGTCATAACACTTCCATCTTAAATTTGAATCCTTTAATTTATACAAAGCCCTTAAGATTTACATAAACAAAGTCATTTAACAATTCAAAACTTCATCTCACCACTTAAATAAATTTACGTGTAAATACAAAAAGGGTATAAATGCAAATTCCGTTAGACGCGAACAGGTGCAAAATCGTGGAAAAAACAAGGGCGGAAAATTCGGCGTGGCGGGTGACGTTAACAGACTTGTCGAGAGGAAGAGTATATACGTGATGAAGGTGACGGAGCAAAAAATGCACATAATTTAGATGAATTTACACAAGTGAAAATGAATAATTCGTAAATTATATAGAAATTTATAAATTGCAATGTTCAGAAATCAAGTGTAGGTGCGACAGGCGCACACATGCAGGCGTGCATAAAGGTACGCTTACACGCGGGCAAAAGGGCCACGTAAGGAAAAACTATCCAAAGAACACGGGACTTTTCATTACATGATAATAAATTAATTATAAAATTTAAAACACGAATTTATAAATTAGTCTTTAACGATGAGAAAATTGTATTTTGATTTACAAAATATCGCCATAGAGGGCAACGATGAGTTTTTCGATGTCGTTAAAATCCAACAGCTTTGTCATCGGTTTTCTATGTTTTTTGATCTGGACAGCTTATGTGATTTAGTATCGCGAAAGACACAGACACGCGTGTTACCGGCACTTGTTTACGCACACGGTATAATCAACGATTCAAACGCACCAACACCCCGACGACATAGCCGACGGACATTGGGTACCTCTTTCTTTCGCGTAAATCAATGGCTACACTTGATTTCACTAGGCTTTTATTCAGGTAAAATCCAAGTGGAATACACCTGACACTATTTTAATAAGCACAAAAGAACAAGCAAATCCTGCGATTCGATTCTTCGTGATTACACACCTTTCGTAAGAGTCCGTCGAAGTATACGATTTTTTTCGGCCAAAAAATCGTCAAGGCATCAACCAAAGCAATGGTGGCCGCAAGTAAGCGAGCTACACAGTGCTGCCAACTTGTGGAGGCGGCGCGAATTATGTTTTTGTATGTAGTTCATTTTTACATCTTTTTTCCCCCGTAAAAAAATGCAAAATTTTTAAAAATTTTCGAATCATAATAATGTAATTGTAATAATTGTATATTTTATTTACAATTAATTAGGAAAAAAATTTCACTCCTTTAGAAATTAAATAGTTTTTTTTTTTAAATTTACAATGATAATTTTTATAAATAATTATCAATTGTTTTTTTAATTAATATTAATTTTATTTTTTGGACATTTTATAATAATTGTAATTATTGATTTTATCATATTTAGATTATTATTAAAAGAAATTAAATTCCTGTTATATTTTGAAACAATGAAATATAGGTGATCTTCCACCTTTTTTAAAAAGGTAAAAATTTGCAAAAAAAAATTCTAGTAGTAGAAAAATCATTATAATAATTTTTAGATTTTTTTAAAAATAATAAGGGCATTTTAGTGTTTACAACGTAGTTTGAACAGAAAGTTGGGCGGGCATAGAAACTACGAGGGCATTTGAAGGTTCGAGGTCACAGTGAGCTGTGCGTTTTTCAACGTAGGATGTTCCTCTCATTTAAAAACGTTAATTAATTCTATAAATTAATATAATGCACATTTTAATTGTTTTTTGTTGCATTGCATTATTTTTTTTTTTTAATTTTATTTAAATTTAACTCGTTAATATTGAGAACTAAAAAATAAATTTTCCATATGAAGAAAAAATTTTAAAAATTTAATTTTAAAATTTTATCAAATTTATATTTTTGAAAATATTTACTTACCAAAATTTGATTTATCAGAATTTTGCATATTTGTTTTATTTCTTGAAAACATAATTTTGCGCCAACAATTTTTCCACTACATTTTTGAAAAATCTTCTAATACACTTTTATCACTTAAGAATATGATAATCTAAAATAAATAAATTCAGTTTAAATTTATAGTGTACAGTAAAATAAAAAATTATAAATTTAATTATTATTAAAAATGGATAGACAAATTTACCAATTTTTTTAAAAAAGTTGTCAAGTACTTGACTTCCGCTATATAGAGCGGATCTCTTTCATTAATTGCAAATATTTTCCTAATTTGAATTAATGTTATCCAAAATGTTAAGGAATAAAATACTTTTTTTAAAGATTGCTTCTATTGTAATGAATTGCGTCTATATATTTGTATTTTGGAATAAAATTCAAATTTTCATTCGAATGCAATATTTAGACGTGCATGCGTTTCAATGCAAGAATCTAAACTGCGTCTTTTGCGATGACTTGCGCACTCGTTAACATTTTATGGTAAAACCACATTCTTCCTTCCAAAAATTATAAAATGAACACATTGTATAAAAAATGTATTTGAATTTTAATTTAAACTATAAGTTTAATTACTTTGATATATTGAAAAGAATTATTTCTAATTTGAAAATTCGATTCTTTAGTTTGTTAATAATAAAATTTAATTAAATACCTATAAGTTTTAAACTTAATTAATAGATTTTGAAATTAGCTTCCTCGTCTTTCATACTATATATCTGGAATTTGTTTTTTTATTAACAAAATTTTGTAAACAAATTATATTGATACTGGTTTACTGTTAATGATTATCTAAATGAGGAACTTTAGTAACTTCTTTGTATTTAGTAGCTGGCTTTGATTCTTCTTCTTCTTTTGCTTCTATTTCTGGTTTAACAACAGTTGTTGCTATTGGTTCTCTTGGTGCTTGCCAAGTTGGAATAATTTTTCCATGAATGCGCCATATGCTGTGTGATAGTGTTAAATATCTTTCAAATACAATATACTCTAGAACATCTTTTCCAACAAATTCACTTCCATGCATTAAGCGTCCGAATCGATCGTAAACGGCCAAAGACTGAAATAAAAATGTAATTGTGATATTTTTAATGAAATAAATAAATATTTTCAACTAACCTGTTTGGTATGAAATCTCATTGTGAGTTGAGCAAATAATTGACTACTATCACCTTGTGTTCTAGCACGAACTAATCGTGCAGGTTCTAACGATTCAATAAATTTCCATCGAATTTGCTTGTTTTTAATATTATGAGTCATTGCCTGAAATAATTAATTGAAAATATTTAAAGTCTGAAAAGTAATTATAAATTTTCAATATGAAACATTAATGAATTTACCATATGTGCTTTTTCCGTAACATAATCCGTGAGTTTATCAAAATCTTTTCTGTAAATTAAAAAACGAAAAAAGTCATATAACAAAGATGGATAAAAATATTTGATAAAAAAATTTCTTACTCAGCTAAAGTAGTGTGTGCTTTAATATAAATATCTCTGGCTTCATCTACAAAATCATCGGTTGAAAAATCATCTATATAGCCCTTAATTTTTCTTATAGACATCATAGAAGTTGTTTTCTTTCCAATTGTAGTTGCAGTTTGTTGTATTCCCTAAAATAAGATTGTTTATTTTAATTATTATTATCAAATTACTCTTGTCAATGTATTATATATTAAAATATTAAATAATTAAAAAATATTACAGATTTAGATGCAACTGAAAATTTTCCATCTCCCTCTGGTGGAACATAAGCCTCGAATATATCAGTGGTACAATTTAAAACAATGCCTCTTTCAAAATCAGATTTAAGAGGTTTTATGCCAAATTTTTTCATATAAGAACGTTGCTCTTCTTCTGTAAAATCACTCGAGTTATTCAACCTCCTTCTGTCAGGAAGTTCAACTTTAATAAATTTTTGTCCTCGTTCTTTCTTAAATTTTGGATTCCAATGTTTTGCATTTTTATTTCTAATTACTTCCACTTGTGTAGGAGCTAAAAAACAAGTTGGTGTTTTCTGAAAAAATTATCCAAACATTATTTAAATTATTTTTGATAAATATTAACAATAGACCTTTTCATGCTGATCGTTCTGTCCTTATCTAGCGCATACAATGACGAATGAGTTGGAAGAGGACAGAATGATCAGCATTAAAAGGTCTATTGTTATAAAATTTCCACTTACCTGAATAGTTTTTATTAATGAAATTCTTGTTGTTAAAAGACCGGCCATTGTTTTAGAAAAATGATTAATTCTTCTTAACAGTAAATATTTAAACTAGTTAAATAAAATAAACTCTTCAGTGTCATTTGTTGTAAATAAAATTATTAAGTGCTTGAAACACTTCTAAATTAAAGAATAACAAACATAACCTTATAAACGACTTGTATATTTTGTATGTTGGTAAAACTGAAAGTTGGTAATGCAGTTCTCGCAGTGAAAAGCGATATATCGAATATCGATAATGTAGAACGATTGTACAGTAAATTACATTAATTGTACAGTTCTTGAAAGTATCTTTTTTGCGCCAAAAGATAGTATAGAGGAGGAAGTGGAAAAGGTGGAAAATGAAGAGAAGGTGGTTGTATAAAGTGGGGATGTGGTTGTGGAGATTGATTTTGACATGACAATGTGGGGAATAATGGAACTATCTTGAAAGACTTTGCGGTCGACATCGGCGATCGGCCGAGTCGGCGGCTCATTACAGTTTTGGCTATGGCTTGTATAGGGTCGACTCGGTTCTGTGCTCGTGCGGAGAAACTGTGCCAATTCGGACATTTTGCCCAGTTTCGAAGGAAAGTTTCTACTGCTTGTGTTAAGTTTCGACAGGATGTCGAGCGACCTGCCAATACTCTTCTTCAGCACTGCCAGGTACTTGATAATCAATTAATCAATTTAACCTTGATTACAAAAGGAACATTCTTCAACGACCCCTTCTGTCACACATTTCCTCAACTGAAATTCATTAAATTAATCAATATTTTTTTTTTAAGATAATTTAAATAATAATTAATTGTATTTTTAAACATTTTATTAATATACAAAAAGAAAAGAATCTCTGATTTGAAATCACAAAGTTCATGCAAATTTTTTATGTGGTGTTCTAACCTAAAATATATCGAGAACCGTCAATATTATAGATTTTGTTATATATTTTTGGCAATTATGTCACGTGGTATTTTTCAGTTATATAAATAGTTGGCAACCTTCAACAAATTGCATATACATAAAAGTTGATAAAATTTCTTGATCTGTTTTGGTGTTAAAAAAAAAGATAAGTTACATAACGAAAAATAACCTGTCAGACACTTGACGTTTTTGACAAAATTTTGAATTAAAAACTTCATTGGCAGTTTGTATATTTTGGCAGAAAATTAATGATGGAACTCTCTTTTCTTAGTCCGATGATCTCATGTGAAAGCCAAGGTGTTTATAGTAATTATTCTGTTAGAAAACGAGTGAAATCCGGCGAGAATAATCTACACAGTAGCATCAGCTGTTTATTTCTAGCAGACGCCAATAAAATGCAGTGTCGTCTGCTCTCTATCATTTATTATCTTTTCTGCTATAAATCTAATTTCTACATAATATATAATTGTTGATCAAATGATATTTATTAATATAGAAAATAATTATCTATTTATGATTAATTATTCTCTTAATTTAAAATTTTCTCTTTAATTTCAAAAAAAGTGCGCATGTGCAAGCTTTCTTTAATTTTTTACCGCTAATTTTTGAATTTAAAATTATTATTAATTTACTAATTAGCATAAAGGAATTAAATTTAGAAAGTTTGTTATTGATGATTAAAAAAAACATTAATATTTATTGATCATTATTAAAAAGGAAATTATGTCATTTTTTTGATATCAAGAAATAGTGTGATGGTGCAATTTTTGAAATTCTTTAAAAATATATAGCCGCACCTGTTTTGACTTATTTCACTCAATGGGCGGACTTTAAATTTCCATCGGCGAGTTCATAGTAACCGATAGGCTTAGTACTAATCATCATACATATTACGTAATTCCTAAGTAAATGCGACCTGGTGTTAAATACTCTGACCTTAAATCTGGTCCTCCTTCCTCTTTTTGCCGTTGCCTCACACCTGGTCAATATTATATAATACTCTTTTACTTTTCTTTTTTTTTTTTTTTTTGAAATTATCCCATCAATTATTTAACTTGAATTTTCTATAAATGAGGGGAAAAAAAAGTTATTTTAATTTATTATAATATAAAAGTGATATTTTTAATTGTAAATTTTTTTTTTTAATTATTCGAAGATAGAAAACAATAGAGGATTGTAATCTTGATTAAAATTTGTTATAGTAAAATTGTTGTTTCGATGTTCTTGGAGTGTTCTTAAGATTTTTATATTGAAACAATATAGACAAAACTTTCCATTTTCTTCAATTTTGATGTATAATTGACGAGAAACCGGTCGAGCGAATTTTAACTCTATAAGTTAAACATAAGTAGGCTAAATGGCATAGATCTTTACTCAAGTCTGTTTGGAACGTCCGCTGGCGCTCTTGACTTTCTCGATCACAACTTGCTTCACTATATAGTTACCTTCATTTCTGTGTCTACTCTTACCTTACCTGTTGATTATATATATATATATATATATATATATATATTTATTCTCGCATTTTTATTGGAAAAATTTTTATTTTCCAATCAAAATATTATAAATTCTCAATTTTTTCATTTTCAAAATCATACAAAAAAATGAATTTTTTTTGACTCGAAAAAGTCAGTTTTTGAATTAATAATTCAATTTAAAAATTGTGGTAATTTTTTTAGTTTAGTTTCTATAAATTTTTTTATTTTAATAATTTCTTGCTTTTTTTAAAAAAATTTTTTCTTGTTTCTGAATTCCTAAATAGAAGAGACGAGTTCTCGCTTTCTTCTATGAGCGCGTGAGAGTAAAATCTTATAGAAATATATAGTACGAAATGAAACCGGCCCGCACTGTTAGTTGAGAATGTCGCAGTGAATTCCATTAGACTTTCGATCAGTTTGAATCTTTCGATAGTTTTACACTTTATAAACTAGTCTTCTTTCTCTCCTAAAGTAGAAATTAAAAACATATATATATATTTTTCTATGGAGAAAATTAATGATTTTAATCATATTTTTGATAATTCGAAATAATTTTTTTTTCAAAATAGATGTTTAGAGAAATTTTACTGACTTAGAGAGTATAATATTATTATTATTATAATAATGTCGAAGTACACGTGTCGAATTTTTACCTCTTCCATATTCTTTTATATATTGAAGTAACTCTAAAAACGAGCAATATTCTTTTTTCATGTAAGTATATCTGATTGACCCATTCAATCTCTTTTCTCTTCATGCACATGTTTAAAAGCAGGACAGATTGTACAATATTGCACACGCCAAATAGTGTAAAATTGAATATTTTAAATTTTTAGGAATTTATAATTATAATAATATTAGCAATAAGGTTTTTTGGTAAAAAAAAAATCCATAATCAAACATTAAATAAATTTCAAATGATTGTCCTAAAAAAAAGTTTCATTAAAAAAAAAAAAAAATGTTCTAAACACTGAATTGGTGAAAGTCTTTTATGCATATATCGATTTATTTCAATAGATCAGGTATTTATATGTGTGATTGAAATCAAATTATTATATTTGAATGCGAAAAATGACCAAAAGTTCATTTTATTTATTTCCCTTTGAATATGGTTGAAAATTAAAAAGAAATACTTGTCAAGAATTATGAATTAATGGCAAGGAAAAGCCGCTCCTAACATTCCTTCTCATGTATTTTTATGTTGGTAATTCTGATCCTCGACAAATGCACCCACATAAATCTTTTTCATATTCTCGACGATATAAAACATAAATTTTCCTTAATTTCTTTTGATTATATTCCAACTGGCAATTATTATTTTATTTTTTATTTTCCATTTTGTTTTTAAGAATAATAATAAGAAAAAATTAAAGAAAGAATTTTCTTTTTAGTTTTTTTTTTTTTAATTTTCTTTGAATTGAGATAAATTTTAGAAACATTCAAGAAAAAAACTTATGGGGCTAATTTATCTGAAAAAAAAAATTAATTTAAAAGTATTTCTAACTCCTAATTTGAATACGATTATATTTCAATTATATTATATAATTAGTTTTGGTTATTGCATATTGTTACCAAATTATAATAATTATTATTATATAACAATAATTATTAGATAATATATTATTCCCATTATAATTACATATATATATATATATATATATATATATATATATATATATATATATATATTAATCCTAAAGTCAAAATGAAAATTACTATCAGATTCTGTCGACATCTTCTTTCTTTGAAAAAAAAAATCTTTTATCTTGAATTGACAAACGTGTCACAGGTGTCAGGTCTGACGCAAAAAGTCTCGATTCACAGTATTCTGGTCTCGTATGACTGTATATATACGCATGCAAGTACGCTGAAGAACGCATGAATATTTTCACAATGTAATTATATATTAACGCAACAAATTATCACGAGCACATACGGATATACTATTTGTTAAATTATTAGCAATTGAAGTCTCAAAAAGGATCTCTTGTCATTTTTTTTTTTCGTCTTTCAAATTAACTTTTATACTAAAATCTAAATTAGTAAGACTTGTTTTTACTAATTTTAATTGAGAATAATTTTCCTATTGAATTTTTTTTTAAAATTTCGCAATTAACGCAGGGAAATATTTAATTAACAGAAAATCATTTAACTGCGAGTATTAAATGTGCGTATTATATGAAAATTATAATGTGAAAGGTTGCGAAAAGAAAGATCTCAGTGTGAGATATAATTGTTAATAATAATAATAATGGAGAGAGAGAGAGAGAGAAAGAGGTTAGGCTATTCAACTCACGGAGCGTGTTTATTAGGATATCTCTAACGACTCTTAATTAATTATACAATTAAAAACAAAGAGATTTGTTTCTCTCACTATTTATACATATTATATTTTAAGTTGGAAACTAAAATGTTATAATAGCACCGTGAAAAATGCGTTAATTATTCATATGTAAAAGGGTATTGTGTTAGTCAAATAAGTCTGCGAATATATATATATAGTCTGGAAATTCTTTTCTAAGTCCTGCGTAACAGTTAGCGTAATACAATAAACGTACAAGGTAAATTTAACACATTTAAAAAAAAAAAAAAAAAAAAAAACTTTTCAAAACAGAAAGTTCCAAAGAATTTATTCTTATTTTCTTTTTTTTGTTGTTCTTGCGGTATTTCATCAGAAAATGGTTATTTTGAGCGAAATATAGCTCCTTAACAAATATTTCATTATTTTCTTTGTCTCAAATAATAATTTATGTTATTATAATTTCCCTCCTATCTTTTACACTTCCAAGGTTGAATTTCATGAAAAAAAAAAAAATGAAGTAATATATAAATAACCTTCAATTTTCTGAAACCTTGAGACTTTCCTATAAAGATGACATTATTATATTATTATTAGTGCAATTTCCAAAAGGATTTACTCATATTTATATAAATACGAGGAAAGTAATTATTTCTTTTTATATGGAATTCCAGTTTTGAAGAATTACTTGACGACCTTGAATATAATTTTTATGTGGTACATTGAACTATATAATCTAAAGTATAATTTTTTTCACTTCCCTTTTGAAATTGATTTTCAATAAATGCTGAAGAAATATTCCGAGTTTATAGAAGAAATAATTTTTTGATACAAGAAAATAAATTTTATGATTATGATATTTATAAATTGAAATTATTTAAAGATTTTGCTACAAAAAATAAGGGATAACAGAAAATTAAAAGGCATTAAAATAAGCTGCTATTATTTTAATCCAATTTTTCTTATTTTAATCCATTTTGGTATTAAAATAAGCAAAATTGGATTAAAATAATAAGCTTATTTTAATGCCTTTTAATTTTCTGTGAAGA